GTATGGAACTGTATGCATTTACAAATACAATTATATATTATTTCTTTTATCTATTAAATTTGTCTGACTTTTTGTTAGTGATAGATGGTGGGTGTAGTTGTTTGTTGTTAAAAATTCAATGAGCAGAATGTTAAAACTCTAATATGTAATGATCCAGTATGACTGAATGTGCTTCAGCTGATCCAGGAGTAAAGAGCAGTTGAGTCCTTCAGGACTGAACACATCCTCCACAGCAGGGCAGCCCACATATGAGCCCACCCCCAAAACTATCTTCACTTACTTAATTTAATAATAAAAATATTTCTAATCATTTATAAATTTAACATTGATGATTCAATGCTACAAAATAATCAAATTTAAAAAGGTTCTACTTCACCTATTATACTGAGCCCCCCACCCCTCAGGTGCAAGCCCCCTGGAGCGATTTATGTGAACAGCCCTGCTCCACAGCTCAGGACAGAAAGTGAACTTCCTGTTTGTTACAGAGACATTCTGATGAAGATTAGAGTTAGTCTGGACAGACAGATCAGAGGACTGGGACATGTGGTGTTATTGATGACTGATTGATGATTGGTTGGTTTCATGCAGCAGATCTTGTGACTCAGATGCAGCAGTGCATTGTGGGAGATTTATTTGGTTTCATGCAGTAAACCAGACTGAATTAGTCTATCTGGTTCTAGCAGACGGAGGTTAGTCGAGGATCAGGACCAGGCTCTTGTTCTGGTTCTGGCTCACAAACCTGTGAGGAGCATTCATCTCCATCACGTCCTCCAGATCCAGGACCAGCTTCTCCAGCTCCATCAGCTGCTGGGCCATCTTCCTCTTGTCCCTGTCAAAGTCCTCCTGGTGGGTTCTGAGCTGGTTCTGGGAGTCCTGCAGAGCCTGCTGCAGGAGGAAGACCTGCTCCCTGACCTGCTTCAGCTCACAGTTCTTGTTCTCAAAGGACCAGTTCCTGTTTGCAGCTTGGACCCGCAGGCGGTCCAGCTCACTGGTTTTGGAGTTGAGCTGCCTGCGGAGGTCCAGAACCAGGTCTGCAGTGTCATTAAGCTGCAAGCTGAGACCTCTCAGGTGGTCCCGGAGTGATGAGATCTCCTCCTCCATCTCCACAACCTGAGTGGACAGCTGGTCCACCAGACGGACGTAGATCCTTTTCTCCTGGTCCAGACGGGTCACCTCATTCCTTTCCTCTGCCAGACTGGACCGGAGCAGACAGGCCCGGTTCTGCTCCTGCTTCAGAACTTCCTGCAGACCAGCCTCTCTGCTGCTCCTTTGGTCCAGCTTTTCAGAGACAGAGTCCTCCCCCTGCTGCTCTACCTGGACTAGGAGCTCCTCCCCCTGCTGCTCTACCTGGACTAGGAGCTCCTCCCCCTGCTGCTCTNTCCTCCCCCTGCTGCTCTACCTGGACTAGGAGCTCCTCCCCCTGCTGCTCTACCTGGACTAGGAGCTCCTCCCCCTGCTGCTCTGCCTGGACTTGAAGCTCCTCCCCCTGCTGCTCTATCTGGACTTGAAGCTCCTCCTCCTGCTGCTCTACCTGGACTTGAAGCTCCTCCCCACACTGCTCTACCTGGACTTGAGGCTCCTCCCCCTGCTGCTCTGCCTGGACTTGAAGCTCCTCCCCCAGCTGCTCTACTTGGACTTGAAGCTCCTCCTCCCGCTGCTCTGCCTGGACTTGAAGCTCCTCCCCCCGCTGCTCTACCTGGACTTGAGGCTCCTCCCCCTGCTGCTCTACCTGGACTTGAAGCTCCTCCCCCTGCTGCTCTACCTGGACTTGAAGCTCCTCCCCCCACTGCTCTACCTGGACTTGAAGCTCCTCCTCCATGCTGCTCCTCTCTGGGACCAGACATTGGTTCTGGACCTCCTGAGTCTCCAGGTAGGCGATGCTCTCCTTCAGGTGAAAACAGCCTCCCTCCAGACGGGCCTCCAGCTCCGAGCACCTCCTCTGAGCCTCCTCCAGTTCCTCTTTCACACTGCTCTCTGATTGGCTGACACTTTGCAGGACTTCCTGTAGCGCACACAGCTCCTGCTCCATCCTGGTCTTGAGGTTTTGTTGCTCCTGGTGGAAGTGATGGAGGTGCTGTGACTCCTCCCTGCTCACAGCACACAGCTCACATTACAGAAAAATATTCTTTATCTGCAAAGGTTTATTGGTTGTCTGCTTGTTTGTTTGTTTGTTTGTTGTTTTGTGAGACACATATTCAGCAGCCCTCCCATTTCCCGGTTTTAAAACCCTAACCTTGTGATGTCACCACCCACCTGACACGCATCACTTCCTGGTCCATCTTCAGCTTTAGCTCCGCCTCCAGCTGGTCCTTCTCGCTGCTCAGTTTCTGAACCAAGTTACTGATCTCTCTGGCAAAGTTCTGCTCAAGCTCGGCCCGCTCCCACTGCATCCTGAGAGAGAGAAAAGGACAGAAACTATGAGGAGAGGCTCATCGACCAATCAGAGACCAGAAAACGCAGAAGCTTGTCCTCACCTCCGCTCCATGCTCCTTCCTCCTCCTCCATTCTGGATCTGAGTCTGCAGTCTGTCCACACTCTCCTTCAGCTGCTTCACCTGCTGCGCCGCCTGATTCCTCTGCTCCTCCAGCTCGCTGATCTCCAGCTGATTACACAGGGTCAAAAATAAGATTTATGGAGCATGAACGACTGACCCCTGACATGACCCCATGCAGTGGTGGACAGTGCTAATCCAAAAATTAGCTCCGCAACTTCAAAAGCGCTTATGACATAGAAAAACTAGCAGAAGCTAATTTTAAAGCACAAGTTCAATTTGACACTTACTAGCTGGCAATAATTCATGTAAAATATATGTACAACACTGCCAATTAGCGGTGTATGAATCCTTTTACAACTTAATTCTACAACTACCGATAGCTGGGGATGTGATTTCCTGAAACAGACCTTTAGCTCCTGGTGTAAAAATTAAAACGTTGTTGAGGATTGCTAGTTTGGCTGCTGCTTTGTCTTTTTCTTTTGTTTGTTGTTGGTTTATTCTGGGTACATGACAGATTTGATTTGTGATGGGAAACGAAAGCACGGAGAACAGGAAACTATCTTTACTTCAAAATAAGAGCTTGGATTTTAAAGTTTTCCATGTAGTTGCTCCAGTTGACCACTAGATGTCAGTCTTCATCAGCATAACATCTTTAAATCATTTCTGAGTCTCTAACCCCGTTGCTTCGACCAATTACGTCAAGTATTGAGCTCCAGCGTTTAAACTTTATTTTTTTTAAAAGGAGCTCTGATTGTAAAGTAAAATAAATCAATACATACAAAATTTTAGTATGGATTACAAACGTTTACTGTTTTTACTGGGACAGGGAGTTCTAAACATTGCCTTCCTGCTACGTAAGCAGACACAAAGCATTGTGGGAAATCAGAAGCGTGACCCAAAGCAACAGTCAGCAGGATGTATACCTTCACAATAAGTGTGTTTATCTGGGAGGGGTGCTGTTGGATAGATCACATGTTGTGATTCATTGACAGTCATACCTRCTGCTGTTCAACATAATGATGACTGGTAGATAATTAGTTATTAGCAGTACTGCATTTTAATTTTAGAAAGCGCAAATCCGCTTATGAATTATAAAAATTAGTAAGTCCGCTAAAGCACAAATGAAATATTTAGGTCCGCAATTAGTGGATTTGCACTTTAGCGGGCTGGTGCCCACCACTGACCCCATGTCTCCTTTATCAACTGCACTTTGTTCTGAAAAAGATTTCTTAGAGACAAATTCTATTTGACTTTTGATAACCTGACCTTGTGTGCAGATAATGCTGACATGACAGTCTGTTACAAAAGGAAATAATCATCAACATTTTCTGTTACGATTGTCCTTTTTTTAAAGATATTTTTATTTCAAGTATGATTATTATTTCTGAACCGTCATTAATTTTCAGATCACTGTAAATGTAACTGTTCTTTTCTTTCTCCTGAGCAGAGCTGCATGTCTGTTTGACCACAGTGTCACTCTATCCTGTAAACACAATATTCTCTCTAAATGAAGGGTTATGTTTTTCTGACAGAGACCTGGTTACCTTTTGTTATGTCCAGTACGCACACAGGGAATATGTCACTGTTTTACTGACTCCCTGGCTGGAGTGTCGTTGCTGTTTTGTGACAGGAAGCCAAGCCGTCCCCTAACGGAGCTGCTACCTGCTCGACGTGAGGACCTGTGGGCAGTCCTTGAACTGGTGAGGACCCCCCAGCCAAGCTGCCCACCTCTGAGACATGCCTGTCCACAGCTGGGTGAGATGTAACCGTACCTTTTAAAGGCCTCACACAATGGTTCACAGGTCAATCCTGGGTAATAGCTCAGGCTCTTCCTTCTGCAGTAATAAAATGACTAATTCTTAATCTGACCAAAACCTTAACATCTTCTCCAAATTGCCAAAACTTATAGGTTTTAACCTGGTCTCTTGTTAATTAATCAATCATCTCCATTTTGTTCTGCTTATCCGAGGTCAGGTCGCAGAGGCAACAGGTCCAGGAGAGAAACCCAGACCCTCTCTGTCTCCCTGGAGGCACTTTCCAGCTCATCCTGGGGGACCCTGACATGTTCCCAGACCAGAGAGGATACATAGTCCTTCCAGCGAGTCCTGGGTCTGCCCTGGGACCTCCTAACAGTGGGACATGTGGAACACCTCTAAAGGGAGGCGTCCAGGAGGCATCACATGCCTGAACCACCTCAACTGACTCCTTTCGATGTGGAGGAGCAGCGGCTCTATTCCCCCTGGATGATGGAGCTCCTCACCCTGTCTCTAGGCTGAGTCCGGCCCACCCTCCGGAGGAAGCTCATTTCGGCTGCTTGTATCCACTTAACTGATAGAAGCAGCAGATATTTCCTTTGGTAAAAATATATTCTCATTCTATAAGGTTTAACATCCAGACCTTAGCTTAGACGTATAACATCATGTCTACAATCCTTTTCATCTCTAACTGCTTTGTGAACCTTATTGCTTCATCTTGTTGTTATTTTTACACTCTGTAGGTCTAAATATTAATAAGACATTTATAATATTATTTTACACTCTGTAGGTCTAAATATTAATAAGACATTTATAATATTATTTTACACTCTGTTGGTCTAAATATTAATCAGACATTTATAATATTATTTTACACTCTGTAGGTCTAAATATTAATCAGACATTTATAATATTTTACACTCTGTAGGTCTAAATATTAATCAGACATTTATATTATTTTACACTCTGTAGGTCTAAATATTAAACAGACATTTATATTATTTTACACTCTGTAGGTCTAAATATTAATCAGACATTTATATTATTTTACACTCTGTAGGTCTAAATATTAATCAGACATTTATATTAT